GGAGCTAAACGTGCCCCCGGGAGATAGAAATAACCTCAAAAAGACTGATTTTATTGAACGGTTTATTCTGGTTTAAAATAAAATTAAAAAAAAAAAAAAAAAAAGAGAGAGAGAGAGGTGGAGCGAGGTACAGAAGGTGCTGCTTTCCCGGGCAGCCGCCTCGGCCCCCCCGGCGGGGGGAGCCCTTCCCCTCAGGGCCGCCGTTGGTTCCCCTCAGGGCCGCCATCGCGGGTCTGTACAATTTTATCGCGATTAACGCGCAGTACACAGGGTTATCGCGACAGGAGAGCGCGTGCCTCAGCGGCGGTTCGGAATCACGACTGGTGGACGCCGAAAGGCAGTGTTGTTGTTAACATGCAAAAAAACATTACTAAACAGTATCACCTAACTTCTACTTGACCTTAATAAGGAAACCAATTACAAAATACTTCCTTGTAGTGCTATACAAAAGTTATAAAATTAAGATTCTATCAACCACTTTTAAATATTCCGATTTTCCGACAGTGCGGTTTTCCACATCTTTCATCACCACTGAACATTTTGAAGATAAAGTAAAAAATAAAAAATAAATCAGCAAATTAGATCAAAATGTTTTAATCTTTGGATCCCTTTATTCCTGTGGCCTTCATATACATATACAGACACAAATGACCAGGTTTCTATTTCAGCATATCAAAAAGTTGTAACTAGTCATTCAGAATTGGCAAAAAAAAGTCCATACTATGTCATTTGTGAATTCATGGTCTGAGAAGCAGAGTCCCACTGTCTCCAAGCTATGGTCTATCAAAATGCAAACAACTTCAAACACTAAGAATTCTTTAAATCGCTTATGCCTACAGGTATTACAACAAAGTTAACATTTCAAGAATTGACAAATGGAGACATACTTTTGTCCCAGGCGTTCCAAGAGTTTCACTAACTCGAGTGCCTGGTCCATTATTAAAAAAAAAGTTAATATTTATCACTAAGTAAAATTAATTGCAAGTTTTGACATACGAAAATTTATTTTCTCCTTATTTGAAAATATCTCCTTAATTTGGTCAAATCCTGTGATATGCCAGAAACTACAAAATCAAATTCTTGCGAGAGAAGTGAAGAGCGTATCCAGTTTCGTGTAATGGAAGAACGTTTTCAAATCTTCATTATAGTCCAAATATAAAATCAAACATTTAAGCCCGAAAAGCTGCTAAAGAAAATACCCAACTAATTCAGTGTTCTTCAGCATATCAATTTTTGCAATAACACAGTATGTTTGCCGACTTAAAAATGTTTATTCTTTAAAAAATTAGTTGCTTTTTATACAGCTATACAAAGTTTGTAATGTTTCTTTGGCAATGGGATATAATGGAATTTTACAACTATATAAAAAGTTTCCTTTGCCTAAGAAACAGTATTTACTGTGTGTACATATTTGACTGACAAAGCAAGTTTTCCTACTGTCCAGCACCCTAGTTGATAAAAGTACAACTATCTCAAAAGGGATATTACAGGATTTCCAAAAAACAACCTTCAGTGGATCAAAACACTCACAGTATCGACGGCCTTCTGCATACAATTGTCCTTACAACTTGAAGCAATTATCAAATACAGTTTAGTAATAAGAAAAATCCTTTCAGTGATGAAAAAATACTTAAACTCCATCGAAGTACTGCTTTATAATTAACTATACATAAGAAATTACTTATCCTTCTGTCTCAAATATATTTAATGCTCACTGTTTTCAAAGATGGCCATTTTTCAAAAGTAACTGCATTACACCCCTTTGAAATTAAATAGTTAAATCCCAGTGCTGGTGACAAGTATACAGCAAATTAACTTCATTCTTTGCAGAGATTGAAACTAATTCTCTGGATCAAGAAGATCTAGACGTTCACCCGGTTTTGGCTTTCTTGTAGACTATGCAGCAACTTTGTTGTCTTTCTAGAGGGAACAACAGTAGAACGTTAAAATTAATTTTGCAAAACAAAAATCACAAATTCATCTGGGCAACAGCACTGGGCAAAGATCCAACGGGAAAGGAGACCTCCCCATGGGCCCAGGTCAGCATCTGGTCAGAACGCCCTCAGCCCGGCACACGCACAACGAAGCAGCTCGTCACTTCGACCAGACGCGTAGCGCAACTCCTTCACACCGCTTCCTACTTATCTGGGAGGGGGCGAGATTCTTTCATTCAGAAATTCAGATCTTTGATCTTCAATTCATGCTCAGCTACCAAAAATGTCTTTAGATCACAGGACTAATTATTGCAACCTAATGATGGAACACTGAGGGACAGTCAGAAATCTTCTGTGATGAAAAAAGGCTCTCCCCCACCTTTCCTTTTTAATTGAAAATATTTACATCTTCCAACAGAAAACAAAGATTTTGTTTTGCAAAACTCTAACTGCTCATGCAGTAAACTACCAGAAAGGCTCCTCTTCCAGTCAGAATTGTAAAAGCCTACACTTACTTGCACCGATCTAGTTAATTGCATTTGTTACCGATTCTAAACAGTACGCCAGTATTATTTCTCTTCCTGCCAGTATTATTTCTCTTCCTTAACAAGCTAACATTTGACTTGAATATATACCCTTAATGCCAAGAAAAAAAGCTTGTACTGAAATTATTAAAAGATTTTGGTTTTGCAAGCAACTGAGCACTGCTGATTCACATAATCTGTATGATCGATGAACTTCCGTAAAGAGAATAATTTACACTGTTTCCAAGAAAAGGGAAGTGCCCCTAAGGTACCACTAGCACAGAATACATCACTTTACTAGCTGGGGCTGACAACCAACTTCGTCCTTCCTCTGAGTGGCTGGGAGGAACAACAGTTAAGTTCTTCAACAGCAGAGAAACTGATGTCTTAATAGTGTTGCAAAAGCAACAAATCACGTAACTCTGCTGTAAAGGAAGATTCTCCTTTTTAGCCATCATAGCTCTTACAGAACTAATTACTATTTCTATGCTTACGTGATGATGAAAGCATGTTCGTACATCGGGTTACTTCAGTTGGCAGATTACACGGTGGCTTGTGCATAATGCTTAAAGGAACTTTAAGCTTCATTCCTATTTTACTGAAAATCAAGTAGCAGTACTTATTTTAATAATTTAAAAACACTTTCTCTATGGGATGGACAGCGATCTGTTTTTTTGAGGCTTTTATGCCCCATCTCCCACAGTTCCTTTTTGCTGAATGACTAGCTGGAAGACGTCAGTCCTGTCTCAGCTTTCCCAACAGCTATTGGACCTAACTATGTAAAGTTATGGTTAAAAAAAGAATTGTGTAATAGGACCTTACAGAACTCAAATATTTTTTATCTTCCTGTTTGCACAAGGTCATCGCTATGCTTAAGTAATTTCAGTTACTTTATTTTAGGGGTTACAGAGGATCTTAGAAGTCTATAGGCCTTGTGCCAACTCATTCACAAAGAATTCAAGTTTGTTGCACACTAGAAGCAACTTCATTTACTCCCTCTCAATCTTTAGATTTTAGAGTATTGCTTAGAAAAATGCTTGCAATTCACATTTCTAACGCTTGTATTAAATCTGCACAACTTTTACTTTTTCTGTTTTCTTCTCAATTCCAGCTACAGAACAAGTATTTAGGGCATGTGAAGAAAGGTAGCCTTTAGTTTTGGTTGCTGTCGACAGTAAAATGATGCTATGTAACTAACATTTCAACATTAATGGACTTTCAATTAAGTAGCTCACAGTATCTTCAAAATACTATTCAAGAAATTCTAGTTGAACATCAAATCTAAAAGCAGATTTATTTTTGCCGTTAGTTTCCAAGAGCAGTGGATCAGGTCATAGTAAGATTAAATGTATTTTACCCTATATTCAAAGTCAGCAAACTCCCTGCCTCCACGACCTCCTCTGAATCCACCACGAAATCCTCGGGGGGCGGTGAAGCCACCTCTTCCACCTCCTCGCCCTCTTCCACCTCGGAAGCCAATCCCCCCTCTGCCTCTGTACCCTCCACGGCCACGATTGGGACGCAGTGGTATTCCAAAGGTCTCGGCATTTAATCTTCTTTCCTCAGCCCAGGTGGGTCGCCGTTCTCTGCCACACAAAGGGAACAAGGATTGTTTTAAAAGACACTTCAGAAGGAAGATACCTTAATCACATTGTAAACCTCCAGATTACCACTTCTGCAAGAATCTAGATGTCTGCCACAACTCATTTAACTCAACAAAAAGGGATGTGTTACAGTATCGTTAGTTATCTATTAATAATGCTGCAAAAATTTCCCATACAGAAAGACACAGTCTGTATCCTCTGCACACAGCATCATATAAATAAGTAGATAACTGCTGTCTGCAATTTAAAACAAGCAACAGAAAGTAAGCGTTTGCAGTTACAGATGTTATTTCATCCAGCCATCAGCACAACAAAACAATCCCCCCTTCTCCCCCATAATTCAAAGTAGGTCAGCAATCCACATCATCTTGACCAATAAAAAGGCAACAGCAAAAGATAAACTTTCCTTTTCCTGAAATGCCATCTTCCCATTAAACAGTACTACTGGCCAAGAGTTATTTAATCTACTCAGAAACCATTGCCAAAGCACAGTCATAACTGATTTAACTGAAGTGGCAGTTTAGTAGCAGACAAAACCCCCCACTTTAGTAAATCTGGAAAGGCGATTCTAGAGTACGTACATTAAGTTCTAGAAGCATGGTTCTAAAACACCATTTGAAAATGTCTTCCTACTAATGCATGGCATTTGCCCACAAAAAAATTTTGGGCTTCATATTCCTGTTTCATTTTTGCCCACTGCACGTGCAAGTAAGCTGTACTCCTTTCGGTTCAGAGTCGACTGGAACGAGTAGTGCTGACACTACCTTATGACACGAACAGGCAGTAAGTAGACTAACAAGCTTCCACTTGCAGGCCGTACCTATTGTCATCACAGGAGATGTTATCAAAGAAGGATTTGGTTTTGTCATAGTAGCAGTTGGGTCCAAGTGGATCTTCCTCATCCGCATTCCCTTCGCTATTTTGGGTATCAACACCTGAGTCACCTTTGTCTTCTCCATTTACAGGCTTCTCTGGTTTCTCAAGTTTATCTTCTGGAAAATAAAAGTAAACAGAAGCCTTCCAGACCACCATACTACACAAGAAAGCACTGTTAACTTATTCCCAGACAAACTACACTGAATGCTCCAAACCCCCTCCAAAATCTAATGTGGAAGTCAAGTGATTTGACACACAAATCAGGGTATTTGCTGCTGGGGCTGTCTG